TAAGTAAATGGAATACTCGTGTTAGTTTTCAAACATTTTGGAGCCTTTGAATCCTTTTATGAAAGAATTTGTGGGAAAAATACTAAAGATGATGCCATTTTCAATCATCTCGTGTTGTAAGCTTCCTAACTACAACCTGCTAGTGCAGAAACTCATTAAGCCTCATAAATAGTTAGTTCTATGATCAAAAGCCCAAAAACAATTAACAGTTGAAACATGGCCCAACATGATTCAGTATCATATAAGCCGATAGCTTCTAGAGGTAGAAATAAAGATATCAACTCCAAAACTTACATTTAATTTTCTCAGTTTTTTCCTGCTTTTTTCTCAGAAGATATAGTATTCCGATAGTTAAAACAGTGAGCAGTAAAAACGGTATGAATGCCATGGAAAGGGCATACATGTAACCTCTGTAATTGAATAATTTCTGTTTACTGCAGCGTCGGCTATTATGACAGACAAACGCACTTGTAAACAACGACATAGAGTTCGCTAACTCGGAGTTCCGTTGGGCAAAGCTCATACAGGGTGTAATTGTCTGGATGGAGACATTCGACAGCCTATAAATAAAAATACTTTGGAGTCTGATAACATAGAATATATAACAATATATCGCAGAATGTGAGAAAAACTCTCTTTTTTTGGATAAATGCTCGAAAAAACATAGCTCTGTGTAGTAACAGTCTATACAAAGAATTTATACATTGTTTCGGGACTTAAACGTATTAAGAGTCAAATGATGTTAAAGTCAAAGACTGTTCTACTCTACATTAAACAACAAAAATTATTTCAGGATAAAAGCACTTCAAACACTGCATAAATGCTGTAATAAATTTTTTTGAAGGAAAAATTGAGCTATATACTTTATGCACAATGCGATGAATGGCCTTTCAATGCTTAGCGATACAAAATCTAAGAATTGATTCTATGAATTGCGCTTAATGTTTTAAAAGAAAAGCTTGCATTTGTTATTGTTAGAAGATGAGCATTGCTTAGTTCATCTCAACCTGAGGCACTCTTTCATTCGCCCTAGTTAAAGTTCTATAATAGTTCTGTTGAAGGCGTGCAGAGGAGATCAAGATTCCTCA